CTGGACTTTCTGTCTGTCTTCTGTTATCCCTTGACGTGTCTGTTTCTGGACTTTCTGTCTGTCTTCTGTTATCCCTTGACGTGTCTGTTTCTGGACTTACTGTCTGTCTTCTGGTATCCCTTGACGTGTCTGTTTCTAGACTTTCTGTCTTCTTCTGTTATTCCTTGACGTCTCTGTTACTGGACTTTCTGTCTGCCTTCTGTTATCTCTTGATGTGTCTGTTTCTGGACTTTCTGTCTGTCTTCTGTTATCCCTTGACGTCTCTGTTACTGGACTTTCTGTCTGTCTTCTGTTATCACTTGACGTGTCTGTTTCTGGACTTTCTGTCTGTCTTCTGTTATCTCTTGATGTGTCTGTTTCTGGACTTTCTGTCTGTCTTCTGTTATCCCTTGACGTCTCTGTTACTGGACTTTCTGTCTGTCTTCTGTTATCCCTTGACGTGTCTGTTACTGGACTTTCTGTCTGTCTTCTGTTATCCCTTGACGTGTCTGTTTCTGGACTTTCTGTCTTCTTCTGTTATTCCTTGACGTCTCTGTTACTGGACTTTCTGTTATTCCTTGACGTGTCTGTTTCTGGACTTTCTGTTTGCCTTCTGTTATCCCTTGACGTCTCTGTTACTGGACTTTCTGTCTGCCTTCTGTTATTCCTTGACGTGTCTGTTTCTGGACTTTCTGTCTGCCTTCTGTTATCCCTTGACGTGTCTGTTTCTGGACATTCTATCTGCCTTCTGTTGTTTTTTGACGTGTCTGTTTCTGGACTTTCTGTTTGTGTTATGTTATCCTTTGATGTGTTTGGTACTGTACTTCCTGTCTGTGTTATGTTATCCTTTGATGTGTTTGGTACTGTACTTCCTGTTTGTGTTATGTTATCCTTTGATGTGTTTGGTACTGTACTTCCTGTCTGTGTTATGTTATCCTTTGATGTGTTTGGTACTGTACTTCCTGTCTGTGTTATGTTATCAGACAGGAAGTACAGTACCAGGCACATCAAAGGTGTTATGTTATCTTTTGGTGTGTTTGGTACTGTACTTCCTGTCTGTGTTATGTTATCCTTTGATGTGTTTGGTACTGTACTTCCTGTCTGTGTTATGTTATCCTTTGACGTGACTAGTACTGTACATGCTGTCTATGTTATGTTATCCTTTGTTAAATTATATTGTATCTAAACCATTACTTAGATGTTAAATTATATTGTATCCCTACCTTATAACTACTCCACGGCTGAAAAGGCGAACATGTTCAATGACGGGATTCGAACCCGCGACCCACATATTATGAGTCAAGCGCTCTAACTACCAAACTATGTCAGACCAATCTGAAGGTAAAATAGAGAAATTAATAGAGTTATTATATTACCTGTCTTCTCTATATTTCTATTAAGTAGAAACTCTGGAGAAAGTTGGATGTACAGTCCTCTCTGTCCACATTCTGCTGCACCAACAGTGTGTGGACTACTATCATAACCGCCACCTGGTGGTCCAATCCTGACGTCAGCTGTCGAGTACCTGTGTTCTATCGTTATGTTTTCCCTTTCAGTCCTATTCTGGTTTGTTGGAGGAATCACAATGATAACGGTTTGGAAAAACCCTCGTCCTTGGGTTTCTTGAAACATTAGTTCTGAGGTTCTAGCGAATAGCTCCTAATTAAATAAATTTTCAACATGTACGAGGGATGTTTAATGTTTTAAAAGGAACCATAAAACACTTGAAATATTATATATCAGTATATTTCAGACTTACCTTTCCAGATTATAAAAGTATTTGGTACACAATAAGATCAGAGATGCTGCCTGAAAACAATGTTATTGATTTCTTTCTCATTGCGTTTTTTTTACTCTATATATAGAGAATAAGTTTATATCATCTTGAACCAACTTTCAACTTAAGGTATCCAAATGTCATCTAATTAGAGACCTACAAGAATTGGATTCCCAATGTATATCTTTCCTACTATCTAGGGAAACAACAGCCAAGGAAAAATCTCTATCTTTTCTGGATCCCCAAATTAAATCCATCAGTGCAGTAGTCAACTGTCAATGACCCATGGTTATCTGGCTCAGGATCTTAGAAGATCCTTCTGAATCAGAGTGTGGGGATCATTACCTCATAGAAGGTCTTCCACTGGTTATAAAGGCCTTCATCCACCTGTCTGCTAGATGTTAGCAGAGATGCCTTAAAGATGGTATCTGCTGAAGTATAAGTTATTTAACCTCGTTGTCAGCAACCTTTCTTACTTCAACCTCGGTCAGAGGGCGTTGTCAGCAACTCTACTTACTTCAAATTGTTTGTGGTACCTCTTGACGGTTGGAATGGGTGTTAAGGTCAATGTGTATGACAATATAGAGCTCCCTCCATTGATGTTTGGCCAGTTGTTTGTGATTTGTTTGATCCTTCCCAGCATTTTGACAAACTTCGTGAAGATCGGAATTATGGGAACCGTTTTCTTTGGTTTTGTTAAATCGCGTTCCCACTGTAGATGTATACATATTGGATATTGATGTGATACTTCAGCTACCTGGAGCAAGTTCCTGCATATTCAGTCATCTGAGGGAGCGATGTAAGCTACGAGGTGAGCCAGCCATGAGGGGGAGATGTAAGCTACGAGGTGGTCCTTTTTGGCTGGGATTCTTGCAGACTAGGCTTGATTAGAGTAGGGTTACTAATCAGTGACACACCTCTTCCGATGTTTCCCTTGTTGTTGTTGTGCTTGCAGTCAAGTACCCAGAAGAGGAGGTGTTGGATACCAAGGGGACCTAGGGCCAGGCCTTCCATGCCTTCAGCCAGACCCACATTTCTGAAGAGCTAGTGAGAAACTGATTTCTATCCAATGGTAATTCATCTCCTGATGTGTTTATCGACTAATTGAAATCGTCTATAATGTCTCCAAACAGATAGATTTTTGAGTATTTACTTTCTAAAAAGTGAAGCTATGGTCAAACGACATTTCTTATATGTACTGGTATATATATATATATATTGCCTGAAGAAAATTCACCCCCCTTCGTCTGCTGATGTCTCTGTCCTGCAGATTTAAATGAGTCTCGTGCTTCACCAACATCCAGCTGGACTCTCCACTTGGCCTATTCATTCACAATTAACGGTCCTTCAGCCACGTACAGTTATTTAATTTTTCTTTGGCACCATACTATGGCTCAGTATCACTATGTTTGGTACTACGGCTTGATACATATGTTGACGATGTATGACATGTATTTGGACAAGGGGATGGTTATGAAAACCCCCCACTATCACACTCATACCTGTAAGTTTTTTCCAAGGTGTTTCCTCCAGATGTTTTTTGCCTGGGAGGACCGCACTTGTTGACCACAATATCGTATATAAGGTGTTTTCATTGGATGTTTTGGTCAGATGGACCATACTTGTTATACTCCAATGTAACTCAGGCACTATCCTTGGCACATACATATATATGGGCCCATTGTTGCTTCCACACGAGACTTTCCATGTTCGTCAACCCTGTGCTGTTTCAAGTCATGGTTTTACAGTACTTTTCCACTGATTCTGTGCTGTACGTCTCTTTCCTGAATGCATTGGTGCCTGCCAATTCAGTTCTACCCCTCTGTTTGTTCCTGTGTTAATTACTGGGTGAAGAGCATATCTGTTCTAGAAGTAGTGCTATACCCCACCGGTGTGCTTTCCTTTCCTATTCTGCTTGATTGGTTATTGATGCTCCTTCACCAGTTCCTCTACAGTTGCAATGTTAACTTAGACCAGTTCATCCATGATTTCACCATATTTCTAATGCATTCCCCTTACCACCGTGGGAACGTTTACGGTTTTGAATATGGACTGGAACTATTTTACAGTAAGTGTCTGTGACTTGTTAGCGATAAATTCGAACAATAAAAGGGCAGCATTGTTGTGACAACAGCTCACGACTACCCTGGAACTCAGGCATATTAATTGTCACTACTGCTTGGTACTATACAAACAGAGTTTCAGGTCCAGTAGAAAAGAAATTTGGCGAGATTGCAAACTCTGTTTCCTACAAAAGTAGTCAAATTAGTCCCACTATTGTATGGGTGCTACACTCAATTTTCTGACCATAAAAATTCTTTAACACTAACATCTTGTCCTCTTTCCACTACCTTTAAGATACAATTTTAACACAGTTAAAGGCAGCAACGAAACAATCCTGCTTGACTAATACTTCTTCTAAGAGTAGCATGAGCCTTTTATCTATTTCAGAAAACAATCATTACCTATCAAATATCTCAATGCTAAAACTGAAACATTATCTCATCAAATAATTTTTTACAGGCCAGATACAACCTTTCATTTCATCTCATATAAAATATGACAATTGTGTTTTCAGTATAATTATTCCATTTGTGTGACACAACACTCAGAAATTACTTTATGTAACATCCATACACCACAAACATATATTTATTCCTCCATATATATTGTCAAATACATTTATCTCAACATTAAACATCACATACACAAGTAGGTGTAGACAGACTGCCTTTAGCCCATGTAACATTAAATGTTTACAGTCTGATAACATGCTGTTATCTATTAGGTGTTAAACTTGACTCATTTCATGATGTCATACAATAAAAATGTTCTGGCAGAATTCATTCAAATCATTATATTTAAGCTAAACTTCTCTCAGCCAGGATCAACATTTATGTTGTTTCTAACATACATACCAACCTAGACTAAATACAATATTTTGCAGTAAAAATACACTAGATGGTCACCAACCCTTTGTTGCTGTAGAAACTGCCTCTATTATGTCTCTCACCCCTAGCCTCTATCCCAGCTACCTTTGGCTTGGCATAAACCTCTGATCCACAGGCTAAAACATCCTACATGTAGGGGGGTGCAATGGCATATGATTGGACAGATATAACCTCAGACTGCTCTTTATCTCATGGCTATCCTTGCACTATACCTCCCCACTTGTCCAAAGATCACCATCTTCACTAGTCCATCCCCAATGTCTCACCTTTTGGTGGACATTTTCCACCAATGGCACACCCAGTCTTTCTTAGCTGGTCATAGATGGCCTCAGCTAAAGTTGGGGGTTAAACTACTCTTGTAGACTACCACACTAGGTTATCCATACATCAACATGGTTGTCTGTGTTTCATCTGTACTGAACTCAACTGGTCATAGATGGGGTGTATGGATAACCTAGTGTGGTAGACTACAAGAGTAGTTTAACCCCCAACTTTAGTTGAGGAACCATGGTTGTCTGTGTTTCCTCTGTACTTAAGTTAAACCTCAGGGATGAATTTGGTCAGATTCCAGCAGTTCTCCTTCCTGGGTTTGTGGTCATAGTGAAAAGGATCTCTGCAGTATTGGTGAAAGTCTGATATTTAAGAGAGGACTTCTTCTAGACCTAAGAACTCTCTATGACAGCCATTGCACCTTAACACCTAACTCTTCTTCCTGGTTAGAAGTCCTTTGGCTTATTAAAATTCCATTTTCTTGAATGCAAAGCCTCAACTCATTAGCATAAGCATTTGAAGAGCGAAGACACTCGTCAAGAAAAAATCAGATACTCTGCAATAACAAATCCTGTGGTCATGAGTGTGAAGCAAAAACAGAGATTGACACAATGCATCAGAGATTGAACGAAAGCTTTTGAAGTTAAGCGTATTTTGGTACCTCCAATTGAGAGATATTTGTATTTATAGATCTGAAAGTAGATTTCTCCCAGTTTTGCATATTAAAGTACAATAATATCCTTTAGTCTTGTTCCAGGCTAGG